CAGGTCACTGACCTATGACGTCATAAATGAACCTCTGCACGATCCTCAGATGTCGCAACCTTGCAACGCTCTCAGTGCCAGAGTAACTTTCACAGGGAGGTGAGACTTGCTGGACTTATTGTCCTTTAGAGGTTTTACAACTTTTATATCTCAAATTTTTCCTAAATGTCACATAAAGTCAAGTTGGTCACGTGACCTCACCTATACGTCAATGGGGAAAAATGAAAACTGTTATTTTGGCGCCAGGAATGATATTCAATAGTCTCAAGTACATGGAATCGTTACTTCATACACTCCTTGCAAGATCTGATGCTGCATTTTTGCATTGTTGACCTTGCATGACGTCATTTATGACGTCACTAGGGTCATACGAGTTTTTCGTCAATAACTCCCGATCAAATTGAGCTTGAGAGTCGACAACGTCACCAATGGACTCCGAAAGACCTGCCGAATCGAATGATATGCGATATGACCTCCTTCGACCAACTTCGTGATTTTAAGACCTCTGACCTGACCTTGACTCGACACCTTACGGTCAACACCTTACGGTGGCCTCACCTGAACAAAAAGTATACCATTCGACGCGCCTGAGCAAGGCGAACACGGCGATGTCAGAATCGTGGCTCTGCGGCCATTTTTTGCGAAGTTATTTACCAAAAACCAAATCCGCTGCTTGGGTCACGTTATGAAATGGGGCGTTGCCGGGCGAGATTTACGCTGTTTCATGATATGTATAAATTGGTAGGGCATAATCGTTTGAATAAAAAGTTGGTTTGGAAGCAATTTTCTACGGAGGTACACACCATTTAAATGTCCTACCCAGCTCATATCATATCGTCATAAATTTCGACATACCCTCAAAAGTATTCATGCGTTATTCGAGCAGCAATTAGGCAAAGTGCAAGCTCGCCACAGAGCACAAATCCTAAAGGAGATAGTCGTCCTTATTTAAAACATATGCTCATTGGATATTCAAGAAGGTTGCTCCTAAATACTGTGGTTCTAGCTTCAAAAACATGGATGTTATGAATGCCGATAGGTTTCGCGAGGCTACACCGGCCGGATCGCCCACTGTGCGGTGGATGGACAGAGTGGCGAGTATCACATTCAGCAATGATGTAAGAATGGCGGTCGAAGAGCTAGGATAGTTCGGAGACGGTTGGGAGATAGGTTGGCAGGCAGGGCAGGGATGGAGACGAGTGGGAAAAGGGGTGGGAGAAGGGGTTAGACACAGATGGAGACGATGAGCGACACGGTTCGGAAGACGCATCATGATCATCCGCCACCGCCGGCAGAGAAGCAAACCATCCATCCGGATGACTCCAGCACGCCTCTGCGTCTTCAACTGGACCAAACAGAGGTAAATACCATGTTCAAGTGGTAACAGAAAGTAAGCGAATTGAAAACGATTAAGGAAGAGGATGGAGTGCGGCTGAGACTAGGTCTGCGCGATAAAAAAAACATGGTGCAACAGTTAAATTCGCCGTTTCAATATCATAACAATGTCCTTGTCGCTAAATATCAATTTGCTGTTTTGCTATTCACCCCTCACGCCTTCTTGCTCTGCGCCAGTCACGCGAAGGCTTACCGCCCGCGTCTATGTGTCGGACTTGTTCATAGATGGCGTTAGTGTATGGCGCCTGAAATGATGCTGTACCGCATAGCACAGTCAAATCTGAGCGCACGAGACGGCACGACACTCAGCCAAATCAGAATCGGATACAGACCGTTCACATTCGAACCATAAATGTGAAAATACGTTACAGTGACCCCGTTTCCATGGGTATCACTGATCCGGATCAGCAAATCTAAATCGCATTAGGTATATTTCTCGAACTCTTCGTTACAGGATAAAATTCAAAGTGGATTAGTCTTATATAGTTAGTTAATCCCTCATTTTCATACCTACATTGGCTAACTATACTGGATTAGCTAATCCATTTTTATTAATCCGGATCAGTGATGTCCACGGAAACGTGGTCACTGAATCTTTATCATACTCAAGCAAAGATGAGTCACAAGCAATGACCCATGCGAAATTTACCACTGACATATGTCCCCGACGTCATCATCCACACATAAAAAAGAATGTCTGGGCGCTCAGCACTAGCAGCGACTCCCCTTAGCGACACGGCGAGAGAATATATTGCCCAAATCTGGGGGCCATTGGACGCAAATGGCCGCCCGGCGGCCGGCCTCGTCTATGATGGAGCGCCCTATTCCGGCGTCAGTTCGCCGCCGCTGGTTTCGGGCTCGGGTTCGCGGTGGGACCGAGGTGCCCACCAGCCCGTGTCCGGCCTGATGAATACCGTCCGGGGTGGAGGCTGCATCCCATCGGCGCGGCGGGACAAACACCAGCCAGACGGGAAGGCGATAGCCACCGGTAAATAAGTTCCGAACACGCTATCGGAATATGTTAAGGTGTAAAAGATAAATTCCGTTTCATTTTACAACTGCGACGCCCCACTGATCGCTTCCAATAGAACCAGGAGCTCGATCTGCAAAGTATAAAAGCCTCCGGCAAGCAAACATCTACCAGTACAACTTTGATCATCAAAGCCATGCCGGCGATTCCCACGCATTGACCGCGGGCAGAGCAGGCACACGCAATACACATTCTTCGCGGTCAGAGCTGTCCAGAGCAAACAGAACGGCACTGGGGCTCGCGACTCGGTCAGACGACTGCAGTAACAGCCCGGCGTCCATCAGAGGCGCAAACACAGCCCCCGGGGAGTGGAGAGAGTGGGAGAGAGGAGGGAGAGGGAGAGGGCGGCGATAACAGCACCATTGTTGGCACAGCGCCGCGCTGCCCAGTGGCCCGCTCGCCACCACACCCTGCTCGCAGCCACTGACCGACTTCCGTCTGCCGAACACAAAGAGCCGCCTGAAGAAAGGGCACGATATCTGGCCCGGATAATTTGCCGATAGAGAGCCGAAAACACCATCCGGGGCCCGAGACGCCCGTGGGGAGGGGACGGGTCGACCGGAAGTCACAATCGTCACAGGGGCACCCGGGTGGCGGGCCATCGTCCCTGATCGATACGGCTGGGCGGCACCGCCCCAGCGGCCGACCGCAGCGGTCGCAGTCAGCGCGGTGCCAGCCGGTCGTGTGCTGAGCGCGCCGGAACACTGCTGAGCAGGCACAATACGACGGCACAGCACGGCTCACGACAGCGGTCGTCTCGCCGCGGAGCCGGACACCAGCCGCGGCCAGTCAGCGTCCCGGCGGCCGATATAGCCGGGTCGACACTCAGCAGCTGATGCAGCCAGGCCGGCGGCTCCAGCCGCGCTCAGCACTCGCTGGTCATATGGCGGTCTGTGGGCCATCTGACCACTCAGGGCTGCCCCGCTCCGGGCCCAGCGCCCAGAAGGCAGGCCGACCGCGTGGGCCGCGTCGGGCGGCGCCGGAGGGTGCTGGCAGAAGCAGCCGCCGGGCCGAGTCGGGATCAATACGGCACCCCACGAGGAGCGGCGGCGCATTCTCCCACTCGAAGCCGACCCGGCCCGGCGGCGGCCAGCGGGGCGGCCCGCGGCCCCGGCGAGCAGTGACCGCGTCCGCCGCCGTGGTCGGTAATGACACGGCCACTGGCCACCGAGTGTCCGCAGCACACTGCCGGCCGGGAACAGAGGCGGCCACAGTTGCCAGCGGCCTATTACATAGGGGCAGACATCGCCGTTCAGACGTCCCACGGGATATCCACTACACCGCCGATGTATTGCCGTCCGAACGCGGAAAACACAAGGGAAATAACAGAAATGTCATGCTGACAAAACGATCGCCACATTTTATGCAAAGTAGCGTAACACAAAGGAAGACAGTCGAAGTAGGATGTGCGAGGAAGGCCGTAGAAAAACTAAAAAATAAGAAAAGACGCAAAATAAATGGAACAAAAAGTCACTGGGTCAGATATCTGTTTGCCCGGACGGACACCTCGCTATGTCCGCTGCCATCTCAGCATAACACTGGGCCATGACTGCTGTCTGGCCCAGTGGAACATCGCGCCACATTCGCTCATGGTCCCGTCTGACTCACCCGGCCTAGCCGGCCGCCGCCCTGAGACCCCAGACGACAATGGCTATTGACTGGTGACGTCACAGATGAATGCCGGTCACTGGGCCGGGGGAGGGGGGGCGGGGGGGGGCGGTCGGCAGAGGAAGGTCCATGGGGACGGCCGGTCACACCGCGACCCGGCAACAGGTAACAAATGGTGAGGTGGGAATGTGCAGTCACGGATAAGGCAACAATGTTTTCCAGCGAAATATGGCATCTACTTGTTATCCGGTTAGCATAACAGGCTAGAAGTTAGGGGAGAGCGGGCAAAGAAAAACAAGTTAACGGCTTTAAGGCCCTAGGAGAGTGTGTGCATCTCAAAAGTTGGAACTGCATCAGTTCTCTTGCTACTGCATCTCAAAACTTTAACGGAACAGCGATTAGGAAAACAATGAAATGTTGATGCTCTTCTACATTACCAGAAGGAAGCAATAACAATTCCTAGAACGACGCATCAAATGTATTTAATGTAAGGATCCGAGTTTTTCAGAGAGAGTAAGCAGTCAACACAAGAGACAAACATATGGTAATTCTACGTCATTCCATTCTTGAAGGAGAGGACCCTGCCCGTGGGCTAGCCAGATGCCATGTTATTGCGCATGTAACCAAAATGCTAACGATACATAGACATCTAATGAAAAAAAAAAATCAAATGTATAGTAACATACATAACATTAAATATCAATATAAAACAAGCATGGCTCAAGCAATTGAAATTGAAATCAGGATGACATCTCGTCTTTCGTTGCTCGGCAGCGGCCTCATATTACCAGTGCAGCGTCCGGCGGACTTCCAGTCTCGTGCCGTCCGCTGCACGAACGTGACATTTCTGACTCCCGGAAATTCCACTTAGCCGCGCGACATGGCGCACCGCTCCCATAGGCTCCTAATCACCTGTCCAGGGTTAATCCGGCAGGCGCCTGTAGGCGATGATCTGGCCGTCACTTACCGTGGAGAGGGCGAGGATCTGCTCCTTCAGGGTCTCCTCGTCCGCGTATCCGACCCAGGGGGCCACCGCCTCCGACGGCGACTTCTTGCTGTTGATGAAAGCCTCGTTCTCCTTGTTGAACTCAGTCAACATGCTCTGTGAATGGAGGTGTCACCGGTCATAGGTTGTACAGCAGCGGGTGTGTGCGGCTGTGTAAACTCTTACACAACTGACCTGTCGGGTGTTTGATCAGCCCAAGTTCAGGTAATTGTTCCGTCGTCTTGCGACCTATGACAGGCAAATATGTACGCATTCGGGTTTAAAGGTATGCAACGTAGTCATCAGTCATATTATTGAACAGTTCTTAACACTAGCTCAAAGGATCCTTTCTTCACAGTCAGCCTTCTGACACCATGAACTGATACATTATTGTATTTTCCTTACAATTCATCACGCGTTTGTTTAAGCTCCCCTGTGCACGAGTCCGCTCCACCCGTCCACTTACAGCTTGAAGTCTAGCAACGTTGCAGGTCTGAAACGTTTACATGCATGCGTTGGTACAACAATTTTCACCTGGAAAGCAATGTGACTGGCGAAGTCAGGAAACAATTTTCTTAAAAGCGCAAAAGCAAATCTGTTCCGACAAGGAATGAAGCCCGCAACAGTCTAATTTCATTAGAGATCCACCTTGTCGGCTCATGTGGCACATTGAATGAAATGTGTGGGGGGATCTCCGGCGGCTGAGCCTGTGAAAAATGGAGCGAATCTGCTCTTTTGATGGACTGGCTGTCATTATTATTGTTAAAGCTTTGGCGAATCTATTGCTTAACTAAAAACAAATATTACGAAAGTCATGTGCTGTTTAAACAGCGTATGTCTACCAGCCGGGTAAACAGCTTGCGCGTCAAAGACAAAGATCAAGACACAGTCCCAACACCCAAAACTAGCACTTCGAACGACTTCTCCCAGTCACGGAGATCCCTTCCATCCATCGCGGCTGCTCTCAGCTACGCCAGTCCAGAGCCGCAGCCCCTCCCACCCACCGCACTGTCCATTCCACTACCCCGCGTCGGGCGTACCCATCTCCGTCTCAGCCAGTTATATCCACTCTCCGAGAGTCAGCCGTCACCACTACCCGTAATTACGGAGAGTTACAGCGGCCGTCAAAAGAACCGTCCAACGTGCGGTCACGTGCCAAACTGTTCGGTAATTACCTCCGACGGCCAGTCGGGCCAACTGTGACCAAACTGCTCCGTACCTCATGACACGCCCCTGGTCGGGAGCTCTGAGTAATGAGTCTCTGACCCTTGTGAGACCACGTCTGGCCGTCATGTCAAACGGCTTGAAACGTTAGTGGTCGGGAAGATTTATCTCGCTCATCAGCACTGGCAGCTGGTAATTCTTCTTACACTTACAGCGCAGTACATACTCTGGTGGAACCTTTAAGCAGCCTACGGTAGGCTTGGGAAGGGACGATCGGGTTCAATGTTCTCTCGCGCGGGAAAGACACATAGAACGGTAAATAGCAACATGGCCAACCAATCCCATCGAGCAGTCGGCTCATTTGGATTTGAATGGGATGAGATGAGATGAGATGAGACAGGATATGATATGATAGGATACAATGGGATGAGATGGAGAGGTAGAACAGAATCGGAATCGAGTCTGGTGCAGATGGAGAGCAACAGACGCCAATTGCTGGTAGCCGCTAGCCAAGCAGTTCCGGCTGGCCCCAGACGTGATAAACCGAGGCCGGGATAATCTGGTTTGAACCGCGATCACGCACAGGACGGCCCCATGGGACGCGAGGCGGCCTGCCCCAACCACAGACCCACTGGGTAAGCTGCGGGAAGTTACGGGAACAGTGGTCGGCCCACTGAGAGACGAAGCAAGAAGTCCGTCCGAGAAACGCCGTAAATACTGATGACTGTCCAAATAAAACATGGATAAGCATTAGGCAGGAGTGCATTGCGATAAGCCTACAGAATGGTCATACTTTATATAATGCACAAAAGACAGATACTCGTAAACGTAAACGGACATACTCGTAAACGGAGAATAGCCTCACTCTGACGATCATTTGCCAGTCAACAGGATCAAATTCAAAAGAAATCCCAGTCTGACTATTAACTACCCCTAGTAATACTCCACCGTTGAGCGCGACGCTCTTCATCCTGCTTAACATAATAACAGTTTAATTAATCTCGCTTAAATAAGAGCCCTCTCAACAAAACAGCAGCCCCATCCCACTACAACCAAACGCTACTCTCATCTAACTCTTACCTCTCGCACGCCCTTCTATCACGCCGGGGCGCACTTCGCCGCCACTCCTCGCCATCTTCTCGTTTTCCCCGCGTATTCCCCGACCGGTCTTTCAAACTGCCAGAACCATCTCCCCTCCCCCCGTCTGGAGTCACTGCCCTACTGCCCCAATCAGACCACGTACGGCCGGAATCGAACGACATCAGCCCCGGGCGGGGCGATATTCCGCACACGGTCTGCGCGGAACATCACTATAGCGGGGCGGGCGCTGGCACGGAGCGCAGACACCATCGAGTGGAAACGCAGCAGAAGATGGCGACGGGCGCATAAATGGACAGGAGAGAGGCGGGTGGGAGGGATGAAAATGACACGGAAAAAGTGATGAGATGGAGATGGGGTTGAAATGGAAATAAGATGGCACATCCTTGCATGGACACGCGATTTATTGAGCACACAGGAGAGAACGCAAAGCTATCATTTTATCGTCTGCAGAAATTTGGCACATGTTGCGATGCGTAGGAATTTGGCAACGTCGCCCGGATCCGTGACGATGAACGATGCCGCCTGCTAGCTGCGTCATATCACTGTAATCGGGAGCACGGCGAATATGAACCCTTATCAACCGCAATTACCTGCCCCGTAGTCAGCGATCAATAGAACAGAAAAACGAAATATACTCACATTTTCGGCCACCGACTTCTTGATCTTGCTGCCTGCTTCTGAGACGGTTTTGCCGGCCTTATTGAAAGCCGAGGAGAGGAAACTTCCGAATGTTTTGGCGCTCTGATTCAACTTCTCAGAAACTCCCGACATGTCGGGCATTCCCGCACCTGTGCATAGAAGGAGAAACATGTCAGAGACACTCATGCAGCAGCAAACACTGACTCAATGGACGCAGCGCACGGTTCCCAGCATTGAACAAAAATCACTGCGGCTGATACAACTTTCAATGGCAAACAGTTTTCGGTTGGGCAAGTATGGTTATCGACTACCGCTCCGGTAAAGCTGTGGTTCGTTCATGATTCCCAGAGATATTTCGCTGACTGCGCTCGAATAAGACCGTGCGGTGCAGCATACCTTCCAGGCCACTACTACCACTGCCATCTAGCGGCAAGGTTGTAAAATACTCAGCTGAGGGACTGCGACCAACGCTTTCCAAGTTGCCCAGTAGGGTGTCTCGAAAGTGGGGTCAAAAAAATTAATTCACTTCCTATAGCAAAAACCACTTGCATCTAGCCTTATTATGACATGAAATGATGATTAAAAAAAAATTCATTTAATGTTAAGAACCAGCGCACCTCGTCTATCGTAACCCTTTCCTGACAATTTCTGGCGTTGCAGTCTCCGTAGGCTTTCTTCGGTGTTATTTTCACGTAAACCGTATAAATGCATTTTCGCTTCAGCTTGCGATCTTTCAACGAACCAATACATTTGTTGCATAAACATTTACTAAAGACACTTTCCTAGCGCAACATATCCAAAAATTGCTACCTGAGTGATACTCATCCTGCTGACAGTAGGTTATGCTAAAAGCTAATATCCATGTTGCTGACTAGGTAAAATGCAGTAAGAATGCCAACACACATGATATGCCGCGTTTTCTACGTTTCTGTCTTGCTCTTGAGCGCACTCCATTCCAATTTTTTGACCGGATAAGTGGGAGGTCGAGCCTTGACTTCGCACGGCTGACATTGATATCGGCCGTCATGGCCGACACGCTTCTGCGACTCTCTTCTGCGCTAGCAGCATTCCTCTGCTTCAGGAATCATCGGAGAACATCGCTTCTCCACGGAAGCTGCGTGCGAGGAAGACTAGCGGATCCAGATTTGCGTTTTTTTTTTTTTTGGGGGGGGGGGGGCAACTCATGCAGGAGCCAAACCTAGCGTGCCCCCAAATCCTATTTTCTCATCGGATTTAGGCCACTTATTTTTCGTCACAGCCCTGACACGATGAACATTTTTTAACTAAAAAAAAATATAGAAATGGTAACCCACCCGACCCATGCCTTTATATCACTTTGTAAACACTTCACATTGCTTTTATCGACCAGTTAACCCGCTCCGGGTCGGTGCTTGGCGCAACCTTTGAGGGCCGGGAGGTGGTAAAACACCCCCTGTTTAACTTGGCTGCTGGGTCACGCACTGATTGAACCATGTTTCATTATCGTTTGGGGGGGCAACCAGGCCACTTTAGGCCTTTGGGGGGGGGGGGCATAGCCCTAAATGCCCCTTCCTGGATCCGCCAGTGTAAGAGACCATTGGAGCTGGAGGAAAGTCTGCTGGGTGGACATTCAGGACCGGGACCACGGTCTGGTTACGGGTACTTGGACCGGGCTTTGCCATGGCCTGAGAATGAATGAGGAACTTCACCACCAATGCATACATCGACAGTCGACACCATCACGAGAGTGCAATCAACACTGGCGGCCGCAGCCCCTCGAGGTGAAACTCAGCGCTCCTCCATGGGCGGCAGCGGCCGTCGTTCTCGTCCTCGGCAGGATCTGGACACGAGACGGCTCACAATTGTGGCTTGGGTACTATTATTATGGTTAGAGCAGACGAAAGTTATCACTGTGCTGCTGCCGCGGTTGGGCTCGAGGGGCTCGAGTGTCGACTACATAGGCGTCTGTGGCGCTAGCGTGTCTGGTCCGAGTTCCGACTGAGATTATGGGCTGGTGCCGGACGTGGTTTGTCCAGAGTTTAGCTGCGCTGAAGCGAAGATCGCATTACAGGCGTGACTTTAAAAAGTGTATCGACAACGTCTACACTAAATAAAGTCAATTAACTACCGACCTGAAACTACGCTTAAACTCTTCACCCACGAACTCTGCCTGAGACTTTCGTGAAAACCACCGTATTATTACTGCCACTAACACCAAGTAAAACCAATGGAGACTGCAACGCCCGAAAAGTGGGTGCAAGCTTTTGGAAATCGCGACTGCGCTTGTTGAAGACAATGGCTCATAATTTTTTAATTGCGATTTTCGAAACCACCAGACTCGATTGCAAATGTTTTGGACTATAGGCGTGTCAACTTTATTTTTCGAGACACCCTATTGCCCAGGGAGTGGTCTGGTTGATATAAGCAGCCATAAACGTCGTGGAAACTGACATCACCAATTTAAAGGTAGAAAAAGAGCCAAGAGACGTTACATTCCATGATGATATGCGAGCATGATGCAGAACAGTTGGTTGCCGCAGAAAATGCAAGCGATAAAACACGGTTCGAAAATTTGCCGATCAGTTTACCGCGCCAAGACAGATGAGGAAAAAGATAGAAAGGCAAGTAGCTGACGATACTGTCAGGCTGGAAAACCTGGCAATCCTGCGGGAGGTCCTCTTATGGCTAGCAAAGGGCCATCAGAGACCGCATTGTCTCTCCCAGACTGGTGGGTTATCTCATGCGGGAAGAGGAAGCTGTTAAATCGGTTTGAGGTTCTTCCAAGGTTATTCTTGTGATATTTGGCTCTCAGAAGACTAGCGATGACAATAACAAAATTTATGTCAAAGAGAGCCTGTGTAAAAGTATTATATTTTAGCTATGGAGGTCTTTGAAACGTGACCCCACCAGGACTAACAGCATCAGCGTGAGCCTGAAAACTGTGACTTTTAGTAACATGATTGAATCTTCTTAGCAGCGAAAACGAAATTAAAACTAAGCAAAACTAATTTCTTGGACAATAATCACATACCCAGCCCCAATGAGAATGAAGTTTGTAAAAAGCCAGCAATAGCAAACACGTATAAGACTTAAATTGTTACACTGTCTGGCATACTGACTGAGGTAATTGGCAGTCACAGAGTAACAGAAGGACCCCTGGCCGCGTCCCAGATTGGTTCGGCGCGTGTCGACTAGTCCCTCATTTCCGGACCACAAATACCTGGACACCAGAGCAGTGACGGGGTGTGGGCGGACGGAGAGCATTGGGGGTCGGAATGGATGGGAAGAGAGTGGAGAGGGGCAACTGACAGACACGCAGGACTAAGAATGGAAGGAAAACGGCAGGCCGGGGCGCACGGCAGACAAGGGACTCCGGGCAAGTGGACGGGTCCACCCGAGTCTGAAAGCCAACGGCAGGCTGATAGCCAAGGCAATGCCGCTAAGCCACAGACGGGTACAGGAGCTGAGGAAATCGGACAATTAGGGTGGCACAGACATGAGACATCTTATAACAAATACTCTTGAGATCTAAGGAAGCAATCGTCTTCTTTATCAATCATTCATCAAATAAAAAATATAAGCAAAACAAAAGCACAAAACAGATCTTGAACAAAAAATAGATAAAAACATAAAGCAGCGTCTTAAAGATAAATGATGCGTGGGTGAACCAATCCCTAGGAGCGTGCCGACATTCACAGAAAGCAATGCACCGTGATCCCGCAACCAATCAGGAATCGAGTCAGCCCATCGCTCTTCCACCCACACCACTGGCACGGCATTGGAAAAGCCGCCAATCTGCGGGGCAAATGTAGCCGCTACGGGAGGTACTTTATCCCTTTACTTTATTTATATACACTGTGCTTTATCTTATCCATCCGCCTAGGCCAGCTGATCTACCGACTTCGCCAACTGCCAATCTCTCTACTGGACCGACCGTCAGCCGTCCCGAGTGATTAGTGAAAGAGCAGTGGAAGCTGCTCCACCCATCGCTCATCACCCGAGCGTGACGGATGGAGTAGGTGGACGACTCAGATAGGCGTAGGTCGGGCGGACAAAATAAATAATTGATAATTGCTGCTCAGAGTATGATTTCCAATGGAAAGTCATTGGTTTTGATTTGGCAAAGGCGAAACTGAATGTAGATAAAATGCACCCAATGTAATTACTGTTAAACTTAAATTTTAGCCACATGCTCCTGCTTCCACATGTCTTTATCCTCATTTGCCCATCAACAAACGAACAGCCCATCAATCAGCATCAGCAAAGTACTGCGGTCAACAAATCGTTTCGCACCGCCCGTCTGCCGCCATATTTCTCTGACCTCCCGGACGCGGCGCACAAACACTCCCGTTCCTGCGTTTCCCCCGCACCGGCCACTGCCCTTCACAAGTGGCTGTTTACGTGGCGAGATGGCTTCTTTACGACGGAGCCGTGCCCGACCGAGACAATAAAACAGTGCCGATGACGGTAACTGGCCCACCTACCAGTCGACCCCCGACAACCCCGCCCGGCCTCTCGACAAGTTCATCACCCACACGAGCCCTTCGCACGCCCACTGACCCCATCGGCTACATCCACATATCCCACCGACAACACATCTCACCACACGCCCATCGTCCCATCCACCCTTTGACATACCCACCAAAGTTCTGGGCACGCCCACCACCCCTCGACACGCCCACCCAACCCCCACGACACGCCCACTCGCACCCCGCCCCCACTCCTCCACACCCCCCGCTGCACCGCGCCGCGGCCGCGGTTCACTGATCGCCCATCGATTACACAGTCCGGTTCACCTATCCAACGGCCTCCTAATGACAATCTACGGCACAATCGTACCCACAGCGCTCACTACGACTGCGCCCATACACCGGCCGGGTTTGAAGAAAATGTGGTCTACTAGCTTGCCGAGTATTGATAAACGTTTAGGCTGTGCTCGTTAGGGTAATGGAACATCTTAATTTAAAACCATATTAAAGGCCAAGAAGCTGCGAATTTCACTGCATCCTGTTTACGTCAGTTGCCTGTATCGTCTTTTGGTCGCCCCCATTCGGTATTTATCCCTCAACTTGAGCCACCTATGTCCCGCTGCGCTCTGATGCAGGGTTCTCAACTCAGCTCTCACATAGCCCCGATCTTCAGAGCCTCGCCCTGCAGATTTCCGTTCCAC